CTTTCTTTCTTTCTTTCTTTCTTTCTTTCTTTCTTTCTTTCTTTCTTCTCTCTCTCTCTTCCTTTCATTCTTAGCTTTCACTTTTAGACACTATCATGTATTCCAGACTAGCCTTAAACCCAAGGATGACCTTGCATTCCTGATTCAACAACCGCTGGAGTGCTGGGATTATAGGTGTACAGCCTAGTCTTGTTTTATTTAAACATATATTTCAAAATGAGGCAAAAAAACAAAACAAAACACCCTTAAACCAGATGTTATATGTGCCTATAATCCCAATACTCCAGAGTGGAGGCAGGAGGATCAGGGTTTGAAGCAAGCCTGAGTTTAAAAGGTGAGCACTCCAGGCTAGAGAGATGGCTTAGAGGTTAAGAGCACAGATTGCTCTTCCTGTGGACTCGGGTTCAATTCTCAGCATCCGCATGGCAGCTCACAACTGTCTGTAACTCCTCACACAGACAAACATGCAGGATAAATACCAACGTACATAAAATAAAAAACAAATAAAAAAAGAAAGTAAAAACTTCTATTTAAAAGGAGGGGCGCTGGAGAGATGGCTCAGAAGTTAAGAACACTGGCTGCTCTTCCAAAGGTCCTGAGTTCAGTTCCCAGCAATCACATGGTGGCTCATAACCATCTAGAGTGAGATCTGGTGCCCTCTTCTGGTGCATACATCAGGCATACATCAGGTAGAATGCTGTATAAATAATAAGTCTTTAAAAAAGCATTCTGTAGGTTTATCCTCTAGCACAAGCCTGCCATATAGTCACTATAGAAGTTGAGACAGAAGGATCAAAAAATCCTTGCCAGCTTGAGCTGCAGAAGGAATTCAAGGCTGCCTTGAGAACATTAGATTCTTCCTCAAAATAAAACAAAAAAAATACCAGGGATATAGATAATTCAATGATAGAGCGAGCATTTGCCTAGAAACTCCCAGTGACAGGCTGGAGTGTTGTGACTCAGTGGTAGAGCACATGCCTAGAATCCCTCAGTGCAGGGTCAAGGTATAGCTTGATATGCTTGTGTATGAGAAGCCCTGGGTTAAATTTCCATTTACCAATCCCACCATCCCTACACACACACACACACACACACACACACACACACACACACACACACGACAAAAAGAAAAGAGAAGAGATGCCAAAACAAACACAAAAGAAAAAAATGCTTGTTTCATTTTTTTTCTGTGACATATTTAAAATAAACAGACATGATCTGGCAACCTTTGGTCATGGTGATGATGTCCTGCTGCATGCTATTATCAACCTCTTGCAGATGTATGATTTTGTTTGTTTGGGTGTTTTTTTTCTTTCTTTCTTTCTTTTTTTTTTTTTTTTAATCAGTTCCACTTAGTAATGTTCTCTCCACACCAGAGCAGTACACATCCCTGCTTTGGAAACTAACTCTCCCCCTGTCGTTGCAGTATTCCTCAGCTGTGTGCCTTGCTCTTCCACCTCCAGGATGGCCTACTCCAGGCATCTGGTCCTCCTCCTCACCGTCTTGCTGAGCCTGGCAGAAACACCAGAATCTGCGCCTGTTCACAGAGTAACAACTTCCCCCATTGCTTCCTTCTGGGGAGAGGTTTTAAATCTTTTCTGCTTTGATTCTGGGGAACCTTAGGGGAACAAGCTAATGTGAAACTGAGCAAAATGATGGGAAATGACCTTGTCAGTTTGGCCTTAAGAATGGAGTAGAGGACAGGAGGAAAACAATAGAAGGTTGGAATGCAGCTTATTCAGCCTAGTGTGATGGCACCTACCAGGAATCCCAGCACTAGAGAAGTAGAGACAGAGGGATTCTTGAGTTTGAGGCCAGTAGACAGCATAGTGAGATCCTATTTAAATAAATAAGGAAACAAAAGGAGAAAAAAGTGGTGTAGCTCAGTTGGTGGAGCACTTGCCAACAGGGGAGAAGCTCTGGGTTCCATCCCCACAAAGCATGGTAGTGTATGCCTTTAACCACCACTCAGGAGGCAGGGAGGAGGATCAGGAATGAAGTCTGACTTCCACTAGTAGTAGAATGATCCATGAGCTAGTAGTGTTGAGGCTAACCTGGGCAATGTGACACTCTGTCTAAGGGAAAAATAAAATAAAATAGAGGGCTGACAAGATGGCTCAATGGGTAAAATGCCTACTGCATAAGCTTGATGAATTTGATCAGGAGAGAACTGACCTCTGAGAGTGGTACTCTGACCTTCACAAGCATGCTGTGGTGTGCATTCGTGTGTGCACACACACACGCACACACCAAAAGAAAAAAGAAAAGAAGCTAGCATGGTTGGTGATACATGCCTGAGATCCCAGATCTCAGGAGGGTAGATTGAAGGCCACCAACCCTCTGTAGCCAATCCTTGTCTCAAAAACAATAAACAAAACAAAATTAGACCAGACATGCTGGTTCTTGCCTTTAATCCCAGTACTGAGGAGGCAAGGACAGGCTGAGCTTTGAGAGCTTGATGTATATAGTGAAGAGCCATGCCACCATGCTCAGGTGTGTTTTTAGTTTTGAGACAATATTTTAATTCTAAAACTGGGCATGGTGGCACATGTCTTTAATCCCAGCACTGTGGAGGCAGAGGCAAGAGGCTCTCTATGAGTCCCAGGCCAGTCTGGTCTATGTAGAAAGACCCTCTCTCAAAACAAAACCAGAAGATCTCTCTCCCAGATGACCCTCCACCTCCCCATTAGCCAAACATGGCCTTCAAGTCCTGAACCTCCTGATTTTCCTTCCAGAGTGCTGGGATTACAGACAAGCGCTATCACACCCAGTTTTACACAGTGCTGGGACTCAAACCCAGGGTTTCACGCATATTAGGGAAACACTCTACAGACTAACCCTAGGCCACACCTCTCCATTCTTTATCAAGTCTTAACTCAGTGTGAACTTAATGGTGGAGCTTCCCTTAGCAATGGAGTTCATTGAGGTAGGATCTCTCTGTATAGCTTTGGCTGTACTGGAATTCAATATCTAGACCAGGCTGGCCTTGAATTCAAAGAGATATGCTTGCCTCTGCCTCCTGAGTTATCTGGTTCTCAGGCTATTCTTGAACTCCTGATAGCTGTGCCCTCACCTCCTCAGTGCTGGGATGAAACCAGGGATTCACAGTTGTTAAGACAGGCGCTTTACCAACTGACCCACAGCCTCAGTTATCATTTATGTAGTTATTTAGTTTTTCTTTTGAGGCAGCATTTCACTGCGTTGTCCAGGCTGGCTTTTGGACTTCCTCAGTAGCCCAGGAAGGAAGGCCTTGACCTTAGAATTCTCCTTTCTCAAACCTCCCAAAAAGCCAGAGGGAGTGGAGGAGAAAGGGCCAGGCCTGCCAGAACTATGTTTTCTATGCTTGGGCTGGCTGGAGTCCCTTCATTGGCAGTCACTGTTGTAGGGTGTCCGCCAGAGAAGACACCTCGGACATGGGTTTAAGTCTGTCTTAGCCGACTGGCAACTTCACTGGGTGTTTGAGACCCCAGTGTAGCCCCAGCCCTTTCTTAGGGTGAGCTTTTAAGCACTTAACAAGAACAGTTAGCCAGAATTGGAAGTACAGAAGCCAAAAAGAAAGTACACTTAGAGACTTTCTCAGAACTATAGACTTCGATGGATTAAGTCTTTGTCTTAGTTTTGGCAGGTGGTACTGTCTACATGCTGAGTTTTATGGCCTGAATACTACTTTCATCACAGAGTCAGTTGTGCTAAAGTCTGAGGGGAGGGTTGTTACTAAGGTCTGTTACAGTCAACTTTCCATGTGCCTCCCTCCACACCTGCAGCTTTCATTCTCTTCCTGAAGCAAGACCTTTCAAAACTTTCCTTCTATTCCAAACTGTCATATTTTAAATATTGTGTTTCTTAGAGTCTGTCTGTTGTGTGCATGTGTGTGTGAATGTGTGTGTGAGTGTGTGTGAGTGTGTGTGTGTGTGTGTGTGTGTGTGTATTATACAGTGAGAGTGTGGAAATCATAAGATAACCTACAAGAGTCATTTCTCTTCTTCCACCAGGGGATCAAGGTCATACTTAGTCTCAAAGCACCCTTAACTCATTGAGCCATCTTGCTCAGGTCTTCCACTTGCTGGATTATAGGAAGTCCTAATTGCATGGGGCGGAAATAGGTACTAAACAAAGCTATGTCACTGGTTAGTATCAAGGAGGCATGGTGACCTACATCACCCTGAATTGCCATGATTTTGCCACTTTCCTGAGTCCTCATTTCTTTATCTCTTCCAGGGACGAGGAGGCTGGACCCTCAATAGTGCTGGTTACCTTCTGGGTCCTGGTAAGTGCTTTTTGTCCATGATCATCGCTCACTCATGTCTATCTGATGCCAATGGCTTTGTGACCCAGAAAAGACACTGGGTTAGTTGTTTTTGCATCACTGTGACCAAAATAACTGGACAGATAAGGGTAGAAAGACTTGTCTTGGCTCACTGTTTCAGAGGGTTTTGCTCCATCATGGTAGGCAAGACCTGGTAGGCTAGCATGCATCACGTAGGTGGGAGGGTATGGAAGAAGCCAGGTATCACTGTGTAGCCATAAGTATAGGTCAGACCTACAGCCTTCAAAGGCCTGCCCCTAGAGACCTATTTCTTTGAGTTAGACTCCACCTGCTAAAAATTCTATGGGAATGGACAAGTGTTCAAAACATGAACCCATGGGAGATGGTTCAGATTCAAACCATATATGGTGTCTTATAGACCTGTAATCCCAGCACTTGAGACGGAGAGGCAGGTGGATCAGGAGTTCAAGGTCATCATGAGCTACTTAAGGAATTGAGGCCAGTCTGGGCAGTCTCAAAAAAAAAAAAAAAAAAAAAAAAGAGGTGGCTCAGTGAGTAAAGTCACTTGTAGCCTGGTGGTGCAAACTGATGACCGAATTTGATCCTAAAACCTACATAAAGGGAGAGGGGAAAAGGTTGACAAGATGGCTCAGTGGATAAAGGTATTTGCCTCCAAGCCTGATGACTTGAGTTCTAGCCCTCAGTATCCACATGGCAGAAAGAGGGAAACAGTTCCTATAGGATGTTTTCTGTTCTCCACAGGGATGAAGTGTCAAGGGTTTCACCTACACACATAAACACATATATAATAAATAAATGCCCAAACAAATGTAATTTCTAACAAATGAATTAAGCAACACCAGCTGCACTGAATACCATACTTTCTGTCCATAATGGGTACCATGCTATGATTTTAGACATCATGCTTTCCTCTTTATTTTCTTCCATCCCTGCTCCTCCACTTCCCTGAATGAATTTTTTAGGAGCACGTGGACTTAGCCACACACTGCTCAGTTCCCACTAAATCCAGCATGCACCATGCTCCCAAATATGCCAGAGGCTAGGCTCAATTTGTTAGAAATAAAATTGGGTCAGGTGTGGTGGGGCACACCTTTAATCCCAGCACTCAGGAGGCAGAGGCAGTCTGATGGTTCTCTATGAGTTCAAGGCCAGTCTAGTCTACGTAGTAAGTTCCATGCCAGTCAGGACTCCACAGTGAGAATCTGTCTCAAAATTTAAAGGAAGTGGGCAGAGGTCATGTGTTAGGGTTTATAAACTGTTCTCTGCACCTAGTCAGTCAATGCTGATGCTTGAATTTTCCTATCCTAAGTCTCCAGTACTTTTATTATGAAATATGAGGATCTTTGTTCCTCACAGGCTTCAGTCAGAAGTCTATGAATCCTCAGGCTGGAGACCAACAAGATGGCTCAGTGGGTAAAAGTGGTGCTTGGCAAGCCTAAGGAACAGTGTTTAGTCCCCAGAAGGAGCCTAAACTGACTCCCATAAATTGTCCTCTGACTGTCATACACGTGCCATGGCATGTGTGTTGCCCCCAACATCTCTCTGTCTCTTGTGAGAGCTGAAGTTAACTTTTTAATTTTAATTACTGTGCCTAAGAGATCCATAGAACAAAAATGCCTCTGACTTGTAAGCCCCCTGCCCAAGTACCGATACTTCCTGAAATGCTGGAGGTTATTGTTTGTGGGAGATAACAAGCCACAGGTTTTCACTCCCCTAAGCAAGTTGGTTTGACCCAATTGCATGAGCTGCACTAGAGCACATATAAGTGGGAAGTAGGAAATATGTTAGGATTAATGCTTCCCCCTGATTGGACCTGATGGGAAATACAGTGGCCTTATGGGGTTGCCTTTTAAAGCCTCTGCAAAAGTGATTCTGCAAAATGGGGACCCAGGAATGGACCTTGCCAGAATCCACCATCCTGCCAGTATTTAATTAAAGCTTGCTTCAAATTTGGCTCAAAGTTGTAGTGGTTTTATTCTTGCCCAATGGAGGATTAACTCTCCCCCTCTCCACTCTCTCTTACACACAAACACATAAAATTAATGAACAAATGAATATAAAAAAGGAAGTAAGAAAAGCCCATGTTGCCATGACAACATGACAGAAAGAACTGAAAACTTGAGATTTGTACCCAGACATAGGTGTGATACAGCCCTAGACCACACTATGGTCAGTGTGCATCCTGTCCTACAGCACTTTTTGGAGGTATTCTGTCAAATGCTGGGAGGACTTCCTGGATCCTGTGTGATGTCATTCTATTTAACAGCTCTCCTGTTGTCTCCCATCCCTTCCCTAGTCCTTCACCTTTCCTCAAAGGCAGACCAGGGCAGGAAGAGGGACTCAGCTCTTGAGATCCTAGACCTGTGGAAGGCCATTGGTGAGTAATCACCACCCTCCCTTCATCTCCAGCATCCTCCACCATTCACGATAGATGTGGGCTCCACCCCTCACTCTGTCACTTCCTAGTTCTTCTACCTAGAAAATGATTCAAATCTGTCAAGATTTTAATTTCTCCACAGCTAAAATTATAGCCTCATTTCACTTGGGTGTGGTTGTGCATGCCAGTACTCTCATACTTGGGATACAGAGACAGGAGAGTCAGGAGCTTGTCACCCAACACTGCCATCCCCAAGGAAAAACAGATCCAGCAACATAGCTCAGTGGGTAAAGATACTTGCTGCCCAGCCTGGCCACCAAGTTCTATCCCCAGGACCTATAAAATGGAAGGAGAGGACTTGGTGGCACACACTATTAATCCCAGCACTCAGGGAGGCAGAGGCAGGTGGATCTCTGAGAGTTTGAGGCCAGTCTGGTCTACAAAGTGAGTCCAAGACAGCCAAGGCTACATAGGGAAAGCCTGTCTCAAAAAACCCCCAAAAACCAAACCAAACAAACAAAAAGCCCAACAACAACAACAACAACAACAACAAAAACAATGGAAGGAGAGAACTGACTTTCACAGGCTGTCCTCTGATCTATATATCTGCACCACACACAGACACACACACAGACAGACACACACACACACACACACACACACACAATGAATAAATAAATAAATATGTAGTAGTAGTAGTAGTAGTAATAATAATAATAATAATAACAACAACAACAACAACAAACTAAGCTAGCCCTGGGAAGATAGCTCAGATAGCTCAGTCAATACAGTGTTTGTTGTACAAGCATGAAGAATTAAGTTCAGAACCTACATAAAAGAGCTCAGCAGGGCAATATGAGCTTGAAATCTCAGTGCTAGGGAGATGGAGACAGGTGGTCCTGAGCTTGCTGGCTGTTGGGAGCATGGCACGAAGGTCCTTGTGCCCACAGCTCTCCAGAGAAATCAGAAATGTTAAGCACACAAGACTGTTTTTCCAATGGGCAAGATGTTAAAAAAAACAAGCAAACCAACACCTGTTCTCCCATCCAGAAAGCTGAGAACTGGAAGTAATTAATATGCTGGCTATCTGTGTTATCTGTTGGTTTAGGCCTTGTCAAGCTCCTACAACTAGGATGGGAGATGGCTAGTAATCTAAATAAGCCTTATAGCCAGGGGTTCCCTAAACTCCCACAACTAGGACCAGAGGTGGCTAATAGCACACATGACCTCTATGCTATCTGTATGACCTAGACTAGGCCAGAGCCTTTACAGTAGCCTATTTGTAGAACCCACCTTCTTGGAAGAAATGACTTGTATCTGAAGTTGAGTTTCCATGTCATTATGCTTCCTTGTGGACTGAGAATTGTACTGTATGGGGAGACTTTCCCCCTAAAAATACTGGGTTTAAATACATTGGTAATGTGGGGCTGGAGAGATGGCTCAGTGGTTAACACTGTCTGGTCTTCCAGAGGTCCTGAGTTTAATTCCCAGCAACCACACAGTGGCTCACAACCCTCTATAACTGGGATCTGAATCCCTCTTCTGCCACTCAGGTATACATGCAGATAGAACATGCATATATGTAAAATAAATAAATAAATAAACCTTTAAAAATATACTAGGAATGAACTGTGTGATATCACACTCTTTATAAGTTTTGATAAGACTCTTTATAAGGTTGATGAAGTCAGTCTGAACCAAGTTTTCATTCTCATCCCTTCATGGTTCTCTTCTCTACCTGATACCTTCAGAGACCCTTTTCCCTGGCCAGCCAGTCTAGCCAAATTGGTGAGCTCCAGGTTCAGTGATCAATTCTGTCTCTAAAAAAATAAGGCAGAGAACAATGGAGGGGAAAAAAAGCCTGATGTTGGCTTATACCTTTAATCCTAGAACTCAGGAGGCGAGGAAGGCAGATCTCTGTGAGTTTGAGGCCAGCCTGGTTTACAGATCAAGTTCCAGGACAACCAGGGCTATACAGAGAAACCCTGTCTCAAAACAAAAACAAACAAAAGAGCCTAATGTTGACATCTGGTTTCCACAAACACAGCAGCACATACTCATCTCCAAAACCCTAAACAATCTGGTGAAGGGCCCAAGCAGCTGTGCTACAGCAGCTGTGCTGCCATGACAGGCTTCATAAGACACTATAGGCCTGAGTTTCTGTTTCCTGGTAATGTTCCCACAATTGCTTAGATAGACCCTGTTTCTAATTCTCAGAACATGAAACTATCGTCCATGAAAATGAGATACAATAACTCAAATAATCTCCCTGAATATCAGAAACAATAGTCTAGTAACCACCTTGAAAAGTCCCCAAGCACTTGACCAATCAAATTAAAAGTTAGTTAGAAAACTTTGCTCAGCTAACCAAAATGATATTGTTACCTGGGCACTTTTTGTTAGCACTCTTTGTTACCTGGGCACACCTTGTTACTTGCACACTCCATGAGATCTTTCCCCCCACATTCCCTAAATCAGCACCAACCAATCAATTTATGACAAGCTTGCTTCTGCTAAACGTGAACCAATCACGTAACTGAAAGTCCTGTTCCTTGCTTAAACCATAATAAAAACTCAGCTTTGCAGCTACTGGGGGGTGGGGGTAGGGGGCTCCTAATCCACTGTGCTGGATGGTGGGGAGTCTGAGCTTAAGCCCAAAATAAAGTATCTTTGTTCTTGCAGACATGGTCTGGCTCCTGCTCATCTTTGGGGATACCAAGATCTGGGCATACAATGGCACACAGTAGGACTACAGCTTTTCAATCGAGATCTCAGAAACTGGCTAGGAGGGAGGGGTTTAGTGGATGCTGCCCTTCCCTGTAAATGCAGTGTCAGACTTAACCCGAGCTGCCTCCTCACTGTCACCTGCAGAGAACAGTGCTGAACAGATATTCCTTGGCTTCCAACCTGGTTTTTATAGATACTTGGAGATCCTTACTTCTTGGCTGCTGGGGGCCAATCCCAGGTGGGAACTGCAGCATGCCTTTATATATCCTCTCATTTATGGAAATTCAAAACTTCTTCAAACACAGTTAAATGGCTCTCACAAGGACAAAGTCTTGATTAAGAGCCACCAGGTACTCAGAAATTCCAAGGAAATAAAGAAAGTGAAGCTAGCTGGGTACAGTGGCACACACCTGTAATCTGTGAGTTTGAGGCCAGCCTGGGCTACAAATCAAGTCCAGGACAGCCAAGGTTATACAGAGAAACCCTGTCTCCAAGAACCAAAAACCAAAACAAAAGCAAAAAAAAGAAGCTACATTATATGTAGAAATAATGAATGCCATGGAGCCTCTACATTTATTTATCTATTTATCTACTTTATTTAGTTATTATGCATGTGTGTGCATATGCCACAGCTGTGTGTCGAGCTCAGAGGACAACTTATGGAAAAGTCAGTTCCCTCCTTCTACCATGGGGCTCTCAAAATAAAACTCAGTTCATCAGACTTGGCAGCAAGTGGCTTAACTCTCTGAGCTGTCTCTACGGCCCTTTGTTGGTATTTCAGTTGATGGTGATGTCTTGTCCCTTTTCCTAGATGGACTCCCTTATTCCCACGCTCCAAGCAAGACCAAAAGGACAGTGGTTGAAACATTTTTCAAACCAAAGATTAGAGGTAAAGATTGGGAATGCAGAAAAAAGAGGGGGGAGGGGAAGTGAGAGGATGAATTGAGTGGCAAAAAGTCAGGGAAGAAGCTGCAACCAGCCAATAAGCATCCCTCAGCAGGATTCTGAGCATCTCTCCACGCGCCCCAGCCTCTCATTTCCTATGCTCCCTCAGACTCTTCCTCATGGACCAGCTCTAGTTCCCCAACTAATAACAAGATCTTACCATTGAACCCTTTCCCATATGAGGCCCTAGACCTGAGCTTGAGGTCCCCTCTGTGACTATAGCATTGCATGGCCAAATTCCTCAAAGTCCTTCAGAAACCATTTGAGTGGTCACCTCTCTTTAAGGGCTTTTTCTGACCACCATTTTTAAAATTACTCATTCATTTTAAAAAGCACTATTTATTTTTTTAAGTGTGTGTTTGTGTTCATGGAGCCCAGAAGAGTGTATCCCATAATCTCCTGGAGCTGGAGTTATTGGCCATTGTGAGCCGCCTGTTGTGGGTGCTGGGAACTGAACTTGGGTCCCTTACAAGATCAGTATGCACTTTTAGCTACTGAGTCATCTCTTCAACATTAGTTAGTTAATTAATTATTTCACTTTGTGTGTGCATTCGAACACATGTGTGTGCATGCCTGTATGACCTCTACAGTGTGAGTGTGGAGGACAGGTCAGGACAATCTACAGGAGATGGTTCTTTTTTTCCACCCTGTGAATCCTAGGGGATTGAACTCCAGTTATCAGGCTTGGTGGCTTGCACCTTTACTCATGGAAACATCTCCATGGCTCTCTATGTATGATTCTTTCTTTCTTTCTTTCTTTCTTTCTTTCTTTCTTTCTTTCTTTCTTTCTTTCTTTCTTTCTTTCTTTCTTCCTTCCTTCCTTCCTTTCTTTCTTTCTTTCTTTCTTTCTTTCTTTCTTTCTTTCTTTCTTTCTTTCTTTCTTTCCCTTTCTCTTTCTTTTTTTAGGGAGGGTTTCTTTTGTTTTTGTTTTTAGAGACAAGGTTTCTCTGTTTAACAGCTCTGACTGTCCTGGAACTCAGCCTGTAGACCAGGTTGGCCTCAAACTCAGGGATCCGCCTGCCTCTGCCTCCCGAGTGCTGTGTTTAAAGGTGTGCACTAACTGCCACCCAGCTCATAACCCCTTTCTAACCAATGAGGATCTCAGTGTGTGCCCACACCTCAGCTTTGCCTGCTTCCTCTGTTGGGACTTTACCCAGCACCACATCTTTCTTGGATCTCAGTATTTTTTCTGTTCAAGTGAACACTCCCAGCCCAGTTCTTGGAACCCAGTACCCCACAGGTTTATTGCAACTGTGTCAGCTCTTTTGAGAAACATATGTGGGCTGGAGAGAATGACTCAGAGGGTTCCAGCTTTTGCAAGCATGATGACCTCAGCTCAGATCCCCAGTACTACCTGTATGAAAAGTCATGTGTTACCTCTAACCCCAGTCCTGAAGGGAAGGGGAGGTGGGGGCAGAGGATCACTGGCACTTGCTGACTACAGTGCTTCAGATTCAGTGAGAGACTCAGTCTTCAATAAAGACAGAAGTCAATTGAACAGGACATCCAACATTTGGTGAATGGATATACACATGAATATACACCACAGGCACACACACACACACACATACACACACACACACACACACACAGAGAAAGAGAGAGAGAGAGAGAGAGAGCTTAGAAGAATATGTATTGAAGTATTCTGAGAATGACACACCCCCTGAATTTATTAATTCTCACCTCTACCTTGACTGCACTTTTTGTTTCTTAAAAATATTGATCATTGACATTACTATAAACCCTCTTGAAATGGGATGGAAAAAAAAGTGTGCAGATGCAGAGAAATGGTAGGCAGAATGAGAAAGGAAAACAAGAAGAACCAGAAAAGCTACTGAAGCTGAGATGGCCAGAGAAGTCTTCCTCCCTAGCCTTAACAGTAACCTGTGCCTGAGGAGATGGCTCAGTTGGAAACAAGGGAACTTGAGTTTGAATTTCCAGCATCCCAGGAGTTTACTAGTTACTCACTCTAGCTGATTGATTAGCTCCATGTTCAGTGAGAGACCCTGACTTAGAAGATAACGAAGAAAGACCACCAATGGCTCTCTTAGAGGAAACAGATTCCACACCCAGCATCCATACAGTGTCTCACAACTGTCTCGGGGAATTGACATCCTCTTCTGGCCTCTTCGGGCACCACACACACACACACACACACACACACACACACACACACACACACCTGGGCAAAACCCATACACGCAAAATAGTAAAAATAAATTTAAAATATTTAAAGTCAGTACATCTGTGGCCCATACCACCTCTCCTGCATAAGAACCAGAGTAAATGAACGTACAAAGTGTCTAGGGCCTCTGCATCATTAGTTGACTGGAACTATTAGAAACCCCGATGTTGGAGCCAGTGTGATGGCTCAGAGGGTAAAGAATTTGCCCAGAAAACCAGAAAACTGGGGTTTGATTGCCACCACTCAGGTAAAAGTGAAAGGAGAGAACTGACCCCATAAAGTTGAACTTTTACCTCCATGCATGCACCATGGCGCAGGCTTGTACCCCCCAACACACACCACCACAACCACAACCACTACACATACAATGCTGATAAATAAAATGAGTTAAAAATTAACCCACATGTTGCTCTCCTGTTGCAGATCTGCAGGACAAGAATGTTCCCAGGAAAGAAGCCACCCTGAAGTTATAGAGACTTAGTCACAGTGTTTCACTCCTCATTCTTTTCTAGCTCATTCTCACCCCCTATCCCCTGCCTATGAAGTTCTCTCAACACCTTTTGCTGAGACTAAGACAATTATATCCCTAAAGGTCACTAAGACATGTTGTAATATTTAAAGAATTATGCTGAAGTAACTCTGTAGTGTCTCTGGTTTTATTGATTGCTCTTGGGCCAAGTCTAAGATGTCATGGGGGGGGGTGTGGAGAAATGGCTCAGTGGTTAAGAGCACTTTTTGCTTTTCCAGAGGATGTGAGTCCTGTACCCAGCACACACACACATACAGTCAGGCCATAACCACCAGCCATTCTAGCACCAGGGGTTCTGATGCCTCTGGTCTCCATGGGCACCTGCATTAACTTTTTACAAAACATATACAGAAACATATACATGCACATCATTTTAATACAACAATAAGGAGATAAATTGGGGGCTGGAGAGACCACTCCTTGGTTACTTCCTACTCTTACAAAGGACCCGTGTTCCATTCTCACCATCCATGTCCAGTGGCTCACAACTGCCTGAAATATCAGCTCCAGGGTACCTAACACCTCTGACCTCTAAGGGCACAGTACTCAGGTTCACAAAGTTACATGCAGACACACAAAAAAGATGTCATTAAGGAACCTAAGGTAATGTTTTAGTTATTGGAGACAGGGTTTTTATGTGTATCCTTGGATGTCTTAGACTTGCTTTGTAGACCAGGCTGGCCTCAAACTCAGAGATATACCTGCCTCTGCCTCCCACAGTGCTAGGATTACAGGTGTGTGCTACCATGCCCGGCTATGAGGGAACTCATTTGAGGAAAGTTTGTAATCATAGAACATCTTTGCAATATGTTCTGGCTAATTGCCTCTCTCTCTTTCTGTGTATCGTTAAAAGACCATGCCTTCATTATATAATTTATATTGTGGTTTTGATCACACACACACACACACACACACACACACACACACACACACACGAGAGAGAGAGAGAGAGAGGAGAGAGAGAGAAAGGCTAGTCTCTCTGACTTCCAGGCCAGCCTGGTCTACACAGCAAGTTCCAGGACAGCCAGGGCTACACAGAGAACCCCTCCTCCTACAAAAAAAAAAAAAGTGAAAATAAAGCCACTTTAAGCCGAGTACGGTGGTACACGCCTCTAATCCTAGCACTCAGGGAAGCAGAGGCAGACAGATGACCGGTGTAGTCTACAAAGTGAGTCCAGGACAGCCAAGGCCATACAAAGAAATCTTGTCTCAAAAAAACAAAAACAAAAAAACCCTAAATTAAAAAACAAACAAACAAACAAACAAAAAAAACCAAACCAAACAGAAACCGAAGTGTTTTAGAGTTCTAATGCTGTAAAAAGACACCACGACCAAGGCAGCTTTTATACTTTACTCAGTTTCAGAGATTTAGTCCATTATCATCAGGGCAAGGGGCAGGCAGACCTAATCCATGACCCAGAGAATTAGGCATTTTATTTTATTTTATTTTATTTTATTTTATTTTATTTTATTTTTTTATTATCTTTTAGTATTTATTTATTGGTTTTCTGAGATAGGGTTTCTCTGTGTGGCTGTCCTGGACTCACTTTGTATACCAAAGTGTGGCTTCAAACTCAGAGATCCGCCTGCCTCTGCCTCCCAAGTGCGCCACCACTGCCCAGCTTTCCTTTATTATTTTTTCAGACAGGATCTCTTTATGTATTTATGTAGTTCTGTCCTGGAACTTGATCTGTAGACCAGGCTTGCCTTGAACTCACAGAGATCCACCTGCCTCTGCCTCCTGAGGATTAAAGGTATGCCCCACCATGCCCAGCTTTATGTTCATTTATTTTTATTTTATTTTATTTTTTTTGAGACTGAGTACTGGTATTAAAATCATGCACTACCATTGCCCAGCTAATTTATTAATCTTTTAAAATGTTCCAAGCCTGGTGCAGTGGCACAGGCCTGTAATCCCAGCACTTAGGGAGGCAGAGGCAGGTGGATCTCTGTGAGTTTGAGGGGAGCCTGGCCTATAAATAGAGACCAGGACAGTCAAGGCTACACAGAGAAACACTGTCTCAAAAAATGTAAAAAGTTTTATTAATTTTTTACAAGTTTCATATATGTACACAACATATTTTGATCACATTCTCCCCTATTCCTCACCCTAACCTGTCCCAGATCTACCTTACTTAACTTTTAGAAATCAAACTCAGTAGGGGTTCACATCTGCTGGGCAAATGCTTTATCACTGAGACATACCTCATTGTTCCAAATGCTTTATTTATTTGTTTGTTTGTTTGTTTAGGAAGGTCTGGTATAGTCCAAGCTGGCCCCAAACTTTCTATATAGCCATAGATGATCCTTAAACTTCTGATCCTTCTACCTGAGATTTCAGGTGTGCGTCAGCACCCCCGGTTTTCTACAGTGCTAGAAACACACCCTTTCAGGCCCCTGCATGCTAAGGCAAATACTCTGACGTCAGCCTAGGCAGATAAAACTATTTTTATCTATCTATCTATCTATCTATCTATCTATCTATCTATCTATCTATCTATCTATCTATCATGAGGCAGCACCTCAATAATATTATTTCCTCAGCTGGTCTTACACTCACTCGTAGCCCAGGCAAGCCTTACATTCATAGTCCTCCTGCCTCAACCTCCCCAGTAGCTGGTTTCACAGGCCTAAGACCATGTCCTTGTCCTTTAAGAAACTAATCCCCTCAATCTGGCAGTCGCACCGAAAATTGTAATCCAATATCGGGATTTCTAAAGCGACGTCTAAAAATGGCGTCTAAGGGCTGAAGGCAGTCACCAGGCAGACTAGCAACCGGAAGAAGGTCTTCCTTGAATACGCGATGACGTGGCAGTTCCCGCCACTTTGCAGAGAGACTTCTAGAAGACACGAGGCTCCGGCATGAAGGCAGGGTAGGGGAGGTAAGTGTATTAACCAGGGATGAAGGCGGCTTAACAAGGTTTTGGGTTCTGATGCAGACACGAGGGAGCCTCCCTCAAGTTTAAGCTGGGCACGGAGTAGCTGCACCTCCGAACTAGGGAGCTAAGGTAGGAGGATGGCAAGTTCCAGGGCAGACGAGGCTGCACAGTGAGGCTTCTCAACAACAACAGAACCCCCAGGTCCTAGAACTTCTACTGTACCTTTGATGCGCGTCCTTCTTCCTCAGTGCTCGGCTCCTGGTAATAACCATACTGACGTGTCAGACCGCAAGAGTGGCTTCCATTTTGCTTAGATCTATAAATATACCTCAATGCTGGGTTGTTGGGTCACGTGGTTGCATGCTTGCATTTGTTTCTTTTATTATTTTGAGAGAGGGTATAGTCCTGTAACGTACGCTTTCCTGGAACGCCCATCCTCCTGCCTTAGCCTCAAGAACTGAAAGCTGAGGCAGGGACTCTCAGGTGCAGCTTTTTTTTTTTTTTTTTTTTTTTTTTTTGGTTGATTGGTTGGTTTTTGTTCATTTGTTTGTTTTTCGAGACAGGGTTTCACTGTGTAGCCTTGGTAATCCTGGACTTGCTGGCCTCAAACTCACAGAAATCCACCTGCCTCAAACTCACAAATGGTGGGATTAAAGGCATGCTCCACCTCAGCCAGCCAGCCTCCTCCTTCCTTTCTTTTTCTTTTCTTTCTTTCTTTCTTTCTTTCTTTCTTTCTTTCTTTCTTTCTTT